TATCTAAAACGGCCAACATTAACCGTCAGAACTTGAAATAATGATACACAATAACATCCTTTAGTTAAATGACAATAATGTTGTATAAATACATAAAATATTAGAAGAATGCTTACATGTATTTTGATATTTATCTTTCTCATGGACAATTGGATGCATACTCGGTCTTAAATTTAATAAAGTATATGATCCATTTATAATTTGTAGTGATGATTTTGTCTCGATATCTAGAAAGGTAGCTTGTTTAGGGTATAAGCCAAGTTGACCAAAATAAGGTGAAGAATATGTTCTGATCCTTATAGTAAATTCAAAAATGACAAAGTGTCCTTGGGGTATTCTATAAACGCCAGAATTAACTTTCATAGATTTTACTTTTTCTGCTTGATTACTGTCATTAATAAAAACAAAATTGCCAATTATTCCAAAATAACCCGGAAGCAAACCGTTCGAACTTTCATTTGCGGTTATATTCAAGATCAGATCCTGAATTATATAATTGTCTTGACTTTTATTATAATCTTTATTCATATTGTTGTCATGTAAATCGTTTCGGTTGGAATATTTAAACGGAGAAAAAATCTAGTATTTATCAATTTCAGGTGAATTCTGTATATACTCAGTGCACGGAAAGTCAAGCAAAGTGGAAAAATTCATGTATCGCACAATACATGAGATATTGGTTATGCTAAGCGGAGATCCATAAGGATCTTGAGAATTTCCTCCTTGAGCATAATTTCTATTAATATGATTTGGATCTATTGAATTTATAAAATTTATATAGAACCATTATTTGAAATTGTTATAATTAAATCATAATATATGTTACAGTACTCACCACTATAGAAAATCGAAAAATCTATTATATGGTAAATAAATAAATCCCACAAGATAAATTCAAAATTCAGTCAGATAAGTACGTACCTGGAAAAATAATATAACGATTTTCATTTCTTTTTTCGCTCATAATAATGGTTTGTTCATCATAGGAGTTAATAAAATCATACCAGAGATAATTAAAAGAAAGAAATATTAGAAAATAAATAATATATGTTATCACTTCTTTTAAAGAACAATTTTGAATTTTAATTTCATGAGTTGGACAGCAGGGTATAAAACATTGAATATATGAAGCATCAGATTCTATTTGAATTTCAGAACTTTGATTATCTGAAGTATCTGATTCTTGATTTATTTGAATTCCAAAACTTTGATTATTTGAAGTATCTGATTCTTGATTTATTCCACTTGGTTTCATTTGAATTCCAAAACTTTGATTATTTGAAGTATCTGATTCTTGATTTATTCCACTTTGTTCCATTTGATTTCCATAACTTTGATTATTTGAAGTATCTGATTCTTGATTTATTCCACTTTGTTCCATTTGAATTCCGGAACTTTGATTATTTGAAGTATCTGATTCTTGATTTATTCCACTTGGTTCCATTTAAATTTCACAACAATTGTATCAAGTGTTCACTTAACGATTATTTTGCCGCTATTGACAATTTATAAATTGTGGATTTGCTAAGAAAATTTTCAAAGGAAGTTATTGTGTATCATTATTTCAAGTTCTGACGGTTAATGTTGGCCGTTTTAGATAATAACCGACTTCGTACCTAAAATGGTCATAACGTGATAGTAACGGTAAATTTTATAGATAATAAGTTCATAACCTATATTTAAGTAACAAGTCATAGCTAACACTGATTGATGGTAGATCTGAATATCATAATTGAATATCCATTGATAGCTTGTATGTGGCTTTCGCACAAGAGATGCGATCGCCGATGATAATTTCAGTCGAATTCGATAGGTTATTGATTTCGGTGTTCCTCGGACTTATAAGAAATCAGCACGGAATTTTGAGTACGGGACAAAACTAAATTGCACATAAACATATACTGGACACAGCACGTCTGAATCACGCAACACTGCACGTATTGACATGTACTTTTACGTGTTTTTTTTAGTATACCTTTACGTGTAATAATGTATTTTTTTACATACTTTCCGTGCGCTTTCTCTTATAATTACATCCAAAATTTTTTTTCATTTTTTTCGATAATTAATTTCGTGCAGTGGTTGAATTACGTGCCTAACTCCGTAGTAGTGTCGTGCTTGAAGTTAGCATCTGCTTGAAGTTGTAACTTCAAACGTTTGAAATTAAACCTGCCTAAGCTTGCTAACTAATGCATGCAAGAAGATTTAATTTCAGTGGCTAATTTCAATCAGTGCAACTTCAAGCAAATACCAACTTCAAGATGACAGCACATACGTACTGTGTACTGATCTTTGATAGGCTATGTTACACGATGTATATCATATAACATTAATAACTTATCTAACTCGGCCGAAATTATCATCAGCAAATTTTTAGGGATCACAGAGTTTATGAAAACAGATATAAAAGGGACATAAATTCATTAAAATCGATACCTAATATTATAAAAGAAGTCATATACAATGATTTCATAAAATTTCGGAAAGTTCCAAGTAGAATACGAATGAATCTAAAATACGAGCAAGGTTGGGCAGAGTTTTTTGTGAACATTATAAAACAACCCGAAAAAATTATGTAATATAATTAAACAGGTATATAAATCAAAATTTAGAAGATATAGGGCTTAGACAAAATTTGTAATTTTAAAGCAGACAAAATGCCTGAAAATTTATTATTAACTCAACTCGTACCTCTATTAGTATTATCCGGAGCCTTGTTATTACCATTCTACCTACATTCTACCAGATCAATCTAAAATCCTTTGGCTAAGCCGATTTTGTCGATCAGAGAATTTTGATCTGCCATAATCATTTTTTTTTTTAAACGTTAACGAAAAAAATTAAAACTTTGAGTGAAGATATCTTGATAATCCCTCATCGATGAGTATAGCGCTCTGCAAAAAGATGTGGCCACATGATTTTTGTAATGATGATCAGGGAAAATTTGTTTTATATTTACGTTTATTTATATCTTAAAATTAGGGATGGCAAAAAAATGATTTTAAATGATTTTTATGATTTTTAACATGACTTAATACATTGTTTTAAAACATCGGTGATTATGGAACTGATGGTTGGAGCTAGAATTACTATATCGGGATTTGTTAATTTTTGACTTCAGCGTTACT